CAAAGCTAAAAAAAAAAAAAAAAAAATCCAAAATTTTATGTGGGCACTTGCGGACATTTGCCCATGGCTGGGTCCGCCAGTGCCTAACACCTTAAAGTTTTGGGTTGAATTAGTTTTTTATATAAAAAAGCAATAAAATTTATTATTATTTATATGAAGTTTGTTAAAATTTTTTTTGAATTATTTCATAAGTTAAAAATATATTAAATATTAACAAATCTAAATTTATTAACTATGTACTAAAAATACCATGAATAAAAATACGACACAAATAACTTATAACACACATGATATAAATTTTAAAACGGATTAAGCAAAAACAAATTTTTTATATCACATTCGTGTCTTGTGAACGAATTTTGTTAAGAATTACCACCTATAACCATACATAACATAAATGCGTTAATTGAGTGCATCTAATAATAATAATATCATTATCAGTGTCATATTTTTGGCTTGGTACCAAGATACAGAATCTCTTTTGATTTTTGAATCACCATTTGTAGGGCTTGGGTTTCTTTTCTGTTGGGGACAGGAGTACACGCATGTATGTTTACTGTTTCACAAAATTTTAAATGTCGGAGTACGTAGATCTTAAATTTTTACCGTTTGACCGTTGAACAGAATATAATTAGTCATGTTTAAAAACCCAGAAAGAAAATAAAAATAAAAAATAGGGTTTCAATTTTATTATGGGAGAAAAAAAATTATTTTATAAATACAACTTGTGTGAGGTCTATATCTATTAAAAAAAAATTGTACGAAAATTGAAGAGTCACTGGTAGGAGAAAATAATTTTCTTATAACATAAGAAAATATTTTCCCATAAAAATAAGAATCATCATTTCTGATTCTATCCGAATCAAATTAAATTAAATAATTAATAAGTTGGTGGAGAAATTAAAAAAAAACTTAAATATAATTTTACTGATGATTAATGAGAGCTCCATGGGTAGCATAGCGCAAAATAGCCCAAAGCTCAAAAGTAGAAACAAAGACCGGTGATTAAAACTTATGTAGCACCGATATTGACATGAGACACGTGATACGATATGACACGACACTCCAATACGTTAATTTTAAAAAATATTAGTTTTCGATATGTTAGGACATGTTTTGATATTAAATAATATTTTTAATATATGTAGTGTATATTATATTTAATATTCAATAATTTAACAAAAAAAATGAAACTAAACTTAAAATATTCATCAATTTCGCAAAACAACATAAGATATCCCAAATATTTATATTAAATGGTAATCGTAATCCAAAGAATCTAATAGTTGAAACTAAAAACTCAACGCAACGCAATCATTTAACTTTTTTTGAATTTATATAACGCGTGTTGGAGTGTCGGACACGACACGTCAGGGTTTTTGAAGTGTCGGTGCTTCATAGATTGAAACGAAGCTTTATGGACAATAATACAGAGTGCACTTTTTTTTTTTTTTTGAAGATCAGAGTGCACATTTCTTCCTAGGCCTGTCTTCACTCATGGGCAATTATATGTGGCACTATCCAGAGTAAAGAGCAGGCATGGATTGAAGATGCTGATATTTGATGAAAATAGTTGTGTTACAAATACTACTTTTAACATCGTCTATAAGAAAGTATTTCAAAGATTAGTGTAGTATACTTGGTTATTTGTACAAAGAGATAACAATGTTGTTTCGTATCAGGTAAGAACTCAATTTTTTATTAGCAAATATTTTTTAATCTTCTTTGTTGCATTCGTTTAGTTGTTATGCCTATTTTTTTGCTAATTTTTTTTGTTATGCAGATTCAGTATTCGAGGCACAATCAGTATTTTATTCACTGGTATTTTTTGCAGTAACGGTGTTTCATTGTAATTCTGAATTATTCATCTGCCATAACACTATATAATTCCCTTAAATACTTTTTTCTTTTCCAATTATTGTTTATATATTGTTTATGATTCATTTCTAACAGGAACAACCACCAAAGTGCATGGCGGAAGAGATTTTACAACTGTTGCGAGTATCGGTTAGACATATTTCTTATTATATTGTTGTCAACATGACATTTAAATTTCTTGTTGGAGATTTTGTGTAATTATCTTATTTATACTTAGAACATATTACGGATATCAAATATTAAGTTGTAAACCATTTTTCAAATTTTATTTTTTCAGTAAGATTTTATTAATTGCTCCATCTTATATATTACACAATAAAAAAAAAATATCAATTTCTTTTTTGTTTCTACCTTAAAAGTTACACGTTTATGTCATACGAACAAACTGAATTTTTGATTTATTCATTTACGAGACAAACAAACTGATTTCTTTTTTCCTCGTGCATTGCACGGGTAATCAACTAGTTTCTGATTTGATGAGAAACTTAATCTTAACATGATACTTTAGGTTTAGGATTGTACAAAAGCCCAAATGGATATAGGCCGAAATCATAGGCCCAATTCTATGGACATGTAAAAGAAGTTTTAATAAGCCTAATTGCTGGGTCGGATTAAAATTTAACATGGATCCGAATTTTAGGCTAACCCCCTTGAGACAAACAGCTTAAATTTGGGCCAGACTAAAAATATTAACTCATTCACTTAATTATTAGGTATGAGCATGTTTGATCCATTTTCTTTTACTTTTAAATTAAAGCTAAAAAAAAAGTTTAGAAAAAAAATTAAAAGTTATTTGGTAATTATATAAAAAATTTAGTTTAAAAATTACTTAAAAACTAAAATCTTAAAGTTTTTTTTATTATAAGAGTTTTTGTAAAATTTTATTTGGCCTAAATTCTACTTGTAAAGAGAAGAGAAATTAAAAAAGAAAACAAGCACTTAATGATTGTTTGATATGTCTTATTTTTAATTTCTCTTTTTCTTAAAAGCATAATCTTAATCAAACATATTTTTATAAAAACTCTTATTATAAAAAGAGTTTTTTTTATAATGAGAAAAAAATAAAGCTAAAAGCTCCCAATAAGAGATTTTACTTTTATTTTTTAAGTTTATTTTTTAATTTTAACTTAAAAATAGCTTTTAACTTAAAAAAAAAAATGTCAAACATGCTCTTAGTCCACTTATCATCATAACAATCATGAATGCACATTATCTATAAAAAAATTTCAAAAATCTTAAAAATGCTTTTGTTTCTCTTACGAATCTGTTAATTGTAGTATTGAACAGGGAGGTTTGTGTATTTTAAAAATGAATACTGCAATTTCGCATTACTGGAAATATTTTTATGTTAATGAAGTGAGTATATCAAGTGAGATAAGCTGGTTCATTGTGAGAATAAAAAGAATAAATCTCAACCACTGAATTAGGTATAAAGAATAAAAAATAAAATATGAAGTCATTTAATTATTTTAGATTGTCATATACCTTGTAAATAACGTGTAATACTGATTATTCGTATGAGATTCAATGATCAACATAAGTTTATCTCACCTCTCATGATATATTGTCCTCACTTGATATGCCATATTATGCATGGATCACATCAAAACAATAACTATGCTAAGGCCAAGAAAAAAATAAATAAGAAAAGTACAAACATGAATTAATAGACTTCCAATATATTATGATTCTTGAAAGATTCAAAGCAGATTCTGCTTTAGACTTATCCAATTTACGAGAATTAAACTTCTCACATTTGATCCAAATTCCAATTTAAATTAATCAAATGGGAACCAACTTTTCATAATTTTGAGACAACATCCATTAGAAATTTGGATAAATTTTCTACTTAACTATTCAGCACTCAATAATTCAACTATCTTATGTTAGAGTTCATCTTTTAAGTAATACTCAAATAGATTGAGTATTAAATACTCCAACCTAAAGCTCTCTAATCAAGTTCTACTGGTTGGTGAAAGAGTAATTGTAGGAGAAAGATTAGTCTCCTAATTCTGTGAGATTTATATGTAAATGGTAATGAATTCCATAGGCATGTAGAATATATTGAATGGAAAGAAAGCCTTGTATGGTATTTGAGCAAAAAAGCTAATTAATTCCGTAGGGAGTGGTAGGGACATTTTTTGTAATAAACACCAAAGAGTATTTAAACTATCTCCATTTTTGGATAATTTTGCTTTCACAATTCACATAGATTGTTTCTTTTCCCTCTGTGGCTATCTATGTGCTCGGTGACTGCAAGCATCACTTAAGGAAAATTACACATTTGAAGCAATGTATTGGTGAAGTTGAAGGCACTATTGGGACCTCCAAGCTGAAAGTTTGTCTCATTTGCACATCTATTGTTGAGGGCAATTAAGATTATTGAGCCTGGGACGTAAGAAATGTCTAGTTTAAAGCCACTGCACCAACAAATTTTCAGATTCTATAAGAATGTTAGGAGAGAAGTGTAGGAAATAAGTGACTTAAATTGTTGCAGAATCAAAACTCTTTCTTCAATACAAGTTTGACATGTTGACCATATATAGAAGAGAAAGAAGGGTGTGAGTGTTAGTACTCCTAACTTGGTTGTGCAAAATAACAATGTTGTAGTTCAAGGGATCGAAATGCTTTTGAAGCAGAAATATTTTTCTGTAACATAATCCTCTGTTAACATGTTTTGCCTAGTCTGTGTATTAATAAACTTTGGCCTATTGTTGTCAACATATTGCTTTAAATTCTGATAGATCAGTGGTCACATCCTCCTACTATTGCCAATAAATATCATACATATGTGCATATGAATATTTTGTGTCTTCTTATATATAGTAACATACATTCCTAGTGAAATACAATTACAGACACATCAAATTAGATACTTATACGGAGTCCAAAAGTAATTGGTAAACGGAAATTGCGAAGAATCCAAAATCTACTAAACAACAGATGTTACAATCTGATTGGCTCGTGAGTTCACAACCAATTAAGTGACTTGAGAGGGATAGATAGAGAGAGAGAAAAGAAGCCCTGGATTTATACATCTAGCTACATGTGTAGTTGGGAATTCCATTTATAGATGTTATATTGAAGAAGCTATCTTGGTCCCCTCACTGCAAAAAATCCCTTCAATCAATTTCCAATCCAAGAAAGGAAGCCATCCTCTTGAGCTCCACATCAAAAAGGGTCTCAAGAGAATCAAATCTCTCTGGTAAGAGGTGGCAATAATCAGAAGGTGATGATGAGCTAGGACTGTTGGTTAAGCCTACCTTGTGGTCTTCAATTTGTGGGAGCATTGAGTTAGAGTCATCAACAATCAGCATTTGGTTTTGATCAATATCAATGAGAAAATCAGTAAGAGAAGCTTCATCACTACCCTCTATTTTAGTTGAGGGACTAGGACTCTGCCTATCATCACACCCAGTGTTCTCCAAAATTTTACTGTATTGAACAGCCTTAACTCTCCTAGGCCTTGGAGCTTCAGGTGCTACATGGATTTGTTTGGTCTTCTTGTCTTCACATTTGTGATTGGGGTTGTGTTGTTGTTGTTGTTGAAGTGAAGCAGATGATGAAGTTTGTTTCTGTAACTTCTTTGATAGGTTAGTGTTCCAATAGTTCTTGATTTCATTGTCTGTTCGTCCCGGTAGCCTCTTAGCTATCAAAGCCCATCTATAAAACAAAAACCGTAACATCAATTCTTGTTCACAAAGTCATTAAATGATGAAAAATGAAATTATGAACTTCAACTATAGTTTATATTTTATAATCTTATATTATATAAGCCTTCCGAATTATGAAACTTGTGCTTAGTATAATAATAAAAAAATCACCTGTTACCAAGAAGACGATGAAGTCTTATGATCATATCCTCTTCATCCACAGAGATGTTACCTCTCTTTATACCAGGCCTGAGATAATTCAACCATCTTTGTCTGCAACTCTTTCCACACCGTTTTAAACCTACATATAATATATATATTATTGTACACTACCAAATAATAGGAATTAAGGACAATCCATGATACTGATTAACTTTGTTAATTGGATTTATGGATAACATATGAGGTAATTCAATAATGTCAATTCAGCAAATCAGTTTTGGATTTAAACATTCATTCACCAAGATAATTTAACCAAAGTCTCCATCCACTTAAGTGCCTAGCATATAGTTAACATACATCAAATACATAGTGAAAATGTATTTGATGCATACAGAAAATGATATAGAGAAAATCAGAGGGACATGTATGTATATAGAGAAAATGAAAAATGTACCTGCATTTTGGGCAACCTTTTGCCATTTCCCTTCTCCATGGAGGGCAACATATTTGGAGAGGGTTTCATCTTCTTCTCTAGACCAAGCACCTTTGTTGATTTCTTTGGGACAGCAAGGGTGTCTACCCATGTTGATCTCTTTGCTTCTTCTTCTCCTTGTGATTGCTCCTCTACCTTTCTGTGTTGCACTCAAAATACCTCACTGACACAAATAAAAATGAGTCCCTTTATTACACATCAATAACTTGGAAGTGTACTTTCCATGGATTTAACAGCTAGATGGGAAAGAAAAAAGGACAACAATGAGAGAGTCATTAATACCAGAAAAATACAAGAAAGGCAATCAGTATAGCTACTTGCACCACCAATCACGTGGATTAAATTGTAAGGAGGTGTTCCTCTTGAGTTCCAAATCATGCAAAACGCAACTGTGTTAAAATTTACTAGGTAAAGTTTTACGGCACACTTACTCTTTCCTCAATTTGAATAAGACTAATTGATGAACAGAAGAATAATTTAATTTTTTTATATATATATACATATATATAGAGGAGAAATTTTTTGACTCTAGTATAAGATTTAGAAATCTTACTTTCCAATTCAACAGTTGATTTTCGAACAGAGTCAAAAGATACCATCATATATATATATATATATATATATATAAAGTTTATATTTTTACAGTTGTTGTACGTACGTGTAGCAATCAAATACTTGTCATATGTATACTTGAAAGCATTAAATGTGGAGAATCATAATCATACAAATGATGAAAACATTAAATGTGTGGAATCATAACCATACACCTGTCGTCGCTGTACGTAAAGCGGCTGCAGAAATGATTTTACTTATATATATATATATATATATATATATATATGTGTGGGAAAAGTGTGTGTCAAGGATGTAAAATTGTGTTATTTTAAGTGAGAGAAAGAGATAAATCATGAAGGAGAGAGAGTGGACAAAAAAATATAAAAGTCACCTCTTTGTGAGAGTGAAATGACACACGTTATATCATTTAAAAGGACAAATATTTATATATATATAGAAAAAATTAAAAATTCAGTCACTGGACCGTCCAGTGCACTAAATTCTCCCGCGAGAACTTAGTGCACTAAATATTATAATGGTGTTCTCAATGTTCTCCCGGGAGAACATAGTTATAATATTTACTATAATTGTGTTCTCGCGGGAGAACTTAGTGCACTGGACTGAATTTTGTATTCAGTCACTATACACTCACTAAACCCATATAATATGGGAAAAACTACTCTTATGTTGCATAAGAGTAGTTTTATCTCCTACACACTCATCGAAAATCGTGACATTTATTTTTTATTTTTTCTTTAAATGGCGGGTCCTATCACATATGTGTCACAACATGAGAAAAGATCTCTCCTTCAACATAAGATTAAATGAACCCTATATATATATATATATATATATGCCCGCGTGTATGTGGCCATTGCGTGTCGTACACTCGTCGTACGTCCACGTCCCGAGGGAGGGGACCAACCAACCAGCAACTATGTTGTCCTCATGTAATGGAAACCATTTTGGTGTGGTGACTTATGAGACATCAACCCCACGGAAATAATGTCCTTCTTCTTTTTCTTTTTTCTTTTCCATTTAAGAGTCCTTACTATTAATAAAGTTTCTCATTGTGAACTATAGTGGTTCCCATGTGTCAATGACTCAATAGTAATACAAAAAAAAAAAAAAATAGTACATGAATATTAATTAACATGAAGTTATTAGGTGCTTCTTATTGAAATTGATTACATACATATACATATATGGTTGTGAAGTTTTGAATAAAGCTATTCACTTAAATTTGCATTTATAACCATAGATAACGACATAAATTCATGTAAGTTTAATGAGAAAGAAATTTAAATGAAATACCTCGATTCAAATTGAGTCACTAATTTAAGTAATATGGCTTAAAATTTATTTGCATATTTTCATTTATTCAAATAATTAGTATATTCATACTTATACCGCGTCATTCTTTTGAGAGCAGATAAAAATTTTACGTCTAATTTCCTTTATACAATGACATATGTCATTTAATTATAACTTTCTTCTTTTAAATTTTAAATTTAAATCCTGTTAAATTAGTTACTTGTATTTTATAATTTGATATATTTTTTCTTTTAATTCATATCTTTCATATCCTACAAGACTTTTCAAATGTTTGAAACTTTGAATTGAATGAATTATATATATATAAAAAAAAACAAACAAACAAACTTGATCTAAATTTATTTATTTTTTCCAAACACGCAAGATTGGGTTAGTCAGGCTTTAAAGAGGTCAGGTCTATTTAATTTGCATATCATTAAAGCATAGCAACTTCAATTGAAGAAGTTATAGTTCTCTCTCCACTAAATTAATTGATTCTTAATGCAAAGCAGTTGTTTGAATTTTGGTAATTTCGTTTTTAATTTAAATAAATCAAGCTTTGATTCTTAATTTGAAATTGAGCATTGATGGGGTTAATGTGATTTCTGACCTGAATATGTTTAATTACCATGTTGAAGAATATAATTAAATAAGATATCAAGTACGTCACCTATACACATCTGTTAATGTCATAAGCTGATGGCCTGATAAATAAATTGTTCTGTAGTAAGGCTTACTGCTCGGACTTTAATCCTTTTAATTAAATTTTGAACTTACGTCATTAATATACAACATTGAGTTTTAGCAATTATTTTATGTACTAGTTAATCAAAACTTATAACCTATTGATTGAACCTGAACCAATATGTCGTATTTTATTTTTATATTATCTATCAATTCATTAATTACTTGATTAATTCGATTCGAGCGGGATAGAACTACGTGACAATAAAGCTTTTCTTACTAAATTTTAACACAATTGCATTTCAAGGACTTTGAACTCGACACCACTAATTAAGTTAGAGTGAGTTTATAATAATGACAAGTTCTCAAGAATTTTAACACTTGTCCATTGAATTACTTTTCAGGATATATAAAACGTGTTTTAAAATTGTTTACCGCTTGAATTCATCCAGAGTTCACCTAAATATATAAGGACTTAATGATTATGCTTGCGTTAACAAGTTTGAAAGTTGAACTAATAACTTGTTGCAAGTAATTTATCGTATTGTAAGCTCGATCAAAGTATATAATCTAACGGCTATCAGATGAGGTGTCAAATTTAAAATTTAACACTAGTATCAAATGATTCTATTTCATATATATATATATATATATATATATATATATATATATATATATATATATTAAATATTGAGAATTTGTGTCAGATTTAATTTAAGAAAGAGAATGGTAGACTAAAGTTGAAACAAAACAGCCTGAATAAGTTTTTGTCTTTATCTCAAAAAATTCTCAAAATAATTTGATGTCACTTATGGGAAAGTGTATATAAGGAGCATAAGTTTCGTGATTTGGATTGGATTGATTTTGAAATAAAAATTATCCAATTCAATTCCTTCGACTTGATCTTTTAATTATCTATTCGGTTTAATATTTTTTTTAAAGGGTTTTATTAATCTCCTTTTGCATAAGATGGGTATCTTATGTTGTAGAGAGAAACTGGGTGGGTCCCACAATCACAAGAAAAAAGAAAAAGAAAAAAAAAGTGAGGTGCGAAAATCGAAGTGAGAGAAAATGAGATAAGTTACCCCATGTAAAAGGAGAGTAATATTTCCCTTTTTTAAATCCATCCAATCCAATTTTATTCGGTTTGGATTGGATCGGTTTTCGATTTTTAAAAAAGTCTAAAATTTCAGTTATACAAATCTCTAGTTATATCAAAATAAGTCATTCAAACAACCAAAAAATTCAAGTCTTCAAACTAAAACAAGTCTTAAAACTCATGAAGAGTTAAAATAGATTAATAGACAATAAAAATTAAAACAAAATATTTTGCTATCAATAACATCCAAGATTTCAAGTCACAATCTTTCAAAAATAATAAATACATAATACATTGTATCGGTTTTCATCAACCAAACTGAAAACTGATTCAATCCAATTAAAATACACGGGTTTTTTTGTTGTTGCAATTTTTTATTTTTCAGTTTTCGGTTATCGGTTATCGATTATCGATTTTTCGGTTAATTTGATTATCATAGTTTACATCGGTTTTGATTGGTTGATAATCACCCCTAGTAAATAAGGAGTGATAAAATGATGTGACCCAGTAGCATGTAGTTGGTATTTGTGATTAAAAATGGGGCCATCCTCCTTTAGGAAGGATAAACAACTTTCTTAAATCGTGTCATTTTATATGGTTAATGGATTATATTCCAAATTCACAAATACTACTAGTCATTTTCCAGACTCGGCCACCAAAAATTGAAGGAAACAGAGTACGTGACTTTATCATGGACAACAGTACAACCAAACAAAAGAAATGCTATAATTTCCCCATCAACTCTTTCGCTTCCGTTTTATGATTCATTACATTAATCCAAATCCCTGACTTGTTAGTAGCTTTACACTCAATTCAAAATTGAAAAACTTTTTTTTTTTTGGTAAGCCAAAATTGAAAAACTTTACATCAGTTTCGTTTATCAATTAATCAGAAATAGAGCAAGTACCCAAAAAAATATGTTTAGGCTCAAATGAACTTGTAGACAGGCAACAACTGAAATCACAAATAAATAATTTGGCTCAAAACAGTGAAACAAAATTACTACCGAGGGGAAAAAATAACAAGAGGTAGTCAATTACTAGAATACTTTAATTTCATGCATAAATACTAAGTAGTCTGATAGGAGTCAATATGCTTTCTGAATAATTCCTCTATTCAATTCATAATCCAGTAAAATTCATTCAGATTACACTTGAAACAATTCAAGTTACATACTATAGTGCTGCTATAGCTCAGATTTGCAGAAATAAATAAAGATAAAAAAACGAACAGAATGTAAAAGTTCAGGGGCCTTCGAGATGCCCTGATATCTCCCACTTTGCCATAGCAAGTTTCATGACCTCCAAGGTATCTGTTCCCTCTTCACGTCTCCCCTTTATCAGCAATAGGAGTAACAAACTCTCCTAACAAACTATCTGACTCAGCATGCATCATGGGCTGTGAAGCAGTATCCATTCTGATTCCTCCTTTGGGCCGTT